AGGAAAATAGCACAAGATGATATGCCAATGTAGTATATTTAGTTAGTCTATTTTCAAAAATATTAGGTGTATGGTATGCCAAATGACAATTATACCCTTGAGGAGGCGAGATGTTGTGAACGGATTTGTGTTAGAGGGAAAACCAAAAATTATGAATTCATAAAATAATAAAGAATTCATACACTTCTTTTGATGGTATTGTTTAGACACTGAAGCGGTTTGATAATACCGCTAAATACCGCTTCACTTCTTTATTGTTGTCACAACATTCGATTGTTTTAAGACGAAGAAAATCTTATTCTCACTGTTCCCTTTTTTGTTCTTCACATATAAACCCTAATTAGATTTCCGGCGAACTATATCTTCCAAGTCGTGGCCGATTATAACATCGGCACCTCCGCTCTCGTCTCCGGCACTCCATCGTCTTCGGTCTTATTTAACCACTCCACCGTCTTCCGTGCTCTTTATCGTGTAAGTTTAAATCCGTTCTTTTTCCGATTTAAAAAATGAAATCGCCCTATTCTACAGGACGTCGTTTAATCTGACCCCAGCCCTTTCACGGTTATCCGGAGTTTTGTAAACTCTAAACGCTGATTTTAGTGTTTTTTTTTAGTTTATATATTCGTACATTCCATTATTCGCCTTCAGATGCTACAAATTCAAGTTGTTTTCTTGTTATAGTGTATAACCTTTTGTATACTTTTGATGTATGCCATTATCTAGAGTGGCATGCCGCACTCTGTCAATAGTTTTATTTTTTTATTTTTCTTTTGTGCAAGCCATTATTCGCCTTCACATGCCCCAAATTCAAGTTCTCTAAATTTAATAGTGTATAATCTTTTGTATAATTTTCATGTATGCCATTATTCAGAGTGCCATGCCATTATTCCCTTGTGTTATGTCATTTATTAACCTGCATGGACATGTCTGTTTTTTTTGGTTTTTTGCAGGATGGTTGGAAAGAAACTGCCTCAGCCCTTATTCAAAGTTGGCTATGAGCCTTCAATGCGGAGGGCAAATGTATACGGCAAGCAAGAGTACTTAGATGTCATCCACTCGTGTCTAAAAACCCCTGAGAAAGAAGTTATTAGGAATTCACAATTCCGGGAATTGTTTGATAACCGGCTGCAAAATTGACTA